ATGAATATCGAGGGCAAGGGTTTAGGGTTTAGGGTTTAGGGTTTAGGGTTTGTGTTTCATGTTAAGTCCGCTGCCTCTTAAGCTGCTGCTGCTGCAGCAGATATACAAAGTAATAAAAATGCATGCGGCTATGCATGCAGGCTTCAGGTGTATATATAAATAAAGCTCTAAATGCTTCAACTAATTAAACAAATTAAATAAAAAACTCTTCTTTTCTCCCTACTCAGCTCAGACGCATCATCGACCCGTAAACCCGCAAAAGAAGAAGACAAGCAAAATAAATAAACAGAGACAGATACAATCAGAGATATAAACAAACAAAGAAAGAAAGAGACAGAAAGAGAGACAGAGACAGAGACAGAGACAATGATATCCATATATATATACATATATATATAGAGAGAGAGAGAAAGAGTAAACAGAGACAGAGACAACAAGAAGACAGAGAGAGTAAGAAGACAGATAAAGAAACAACCAGGAGAGAGGCAGAGAGAATAAAAGATTAAAGAGGGATCACTAGGAGAGGAGAGCAGAAGCAAAGAAAAGACGAAGAAAACCCTGAAATAATCAAAATATATGCAGAAATAAACCCCGTTATATTTAACTTACATCAAGAACAAACTCTACGGTGTCTAGACAATCCCAAGGCCTCTCTTCTCGAGTTTGTAAGCACTCAAATTTATGTGAAGCAGAAACCTCTGCGCCTTCTTTGCAGTACTTCTGCGCCAGCTCCACCAGCTGTCTAGACACCTGAATAAAGCAGCAGCAGCAGCAGAAGCAGCAGCAGCAGATGCTTACGCACGCAATAAGTACGTCCTGCTTCCAGCATCAATACATATATAATTCAAATGTAGTTCTTGGCGTTGGGGTGTCTGAATAGATGCATTCGTGCATGCATGCATGCATGCATGCACAGTATAATACCTCATGAGGCTCGAAGGAAACAGTCGTGCTAGAGCTGCCGCTGTTGCTGCTGCTGCTGCTGTTGCTGTTGCTGTTGCTGTTTGTTGCTGCTGCGTCTGCTGAGAAAAAGCGAACAAATCTTCTGCTGCTTGACCCCCGCTGCTGTGGCGATGAGGAGGCGGCGGCCGTGGGAGCCCAGTGGAAGCTGCGTGTACACCCCAACGTGGTGAACTGAACGGGGTGTATGCAGTTGGGGTGTCTGCTGACCAAAGGAGAAGCAGAAAGAGTAGTAAACAAACAGCGCTTTAAAGGCCGCGCAGCTGTGCATGCAAGACTCATTGTGGAAGCTGTTGTTCAGCGCTCGGCTCCTCAAGGGAGGTAAATAGATGCAAATAAATCAACAAAAAAAAGAGTATAAACCCAAGAAGAAAGGAAGACTTCCCTTACTCGACGCACAGCAAATGCAAACTACAAACAAACAAGCCAGACAGATATAACTCCTTTGCAGGTATAGCAAGAAAAGATGAAGTTGGAGGAGAATAATGAATTAAAATCATTTAATTGGTATTTTCTTCGTATTCTTCCATTTTATTTTATTCATAATACTAACAATATTTCATAAATTCAACAAAATTGAAGTGCAGTGCGCCGCTGGCGCTGCCGGGGGCGGCAAACCGCTTCGGGTGTATGTACAGTTCTTGCAAACATCATGAATTATTTTTTTGTTTTTATTGTTTTAAATTATATTTAGTATTAATTGTACCCTCTTTTTATTGTAGAAGAAAGGTAATGAGTGGTCCCGTAAGGCATTACTGGTAATGTCTTCGTGCACGCTGGCAATACAGAGAAAATTCAATACTTCTTATTTGCATGTACTCTGCAGCACTTCTCACTTTTATTTAAATGAATGTCTTTAGCGCTATTTAAGAGATTTCACTGGAGATTCAACGCATAAATCAGGCAGCAGAAGGTTATTGCTGCATACACCATATGAACCCTTACTGGGCTCTATTAGACAAATTGCACAAGTAGAGACACAGCAATTATCTGCATTATGAATACAGACAGAAAAAGAGGTGTTATCTGCTTTCAAATAAGAGGCTGTCTTGCAGCATTACTAGCACTGAGATAAGTTGCAACCCGTGTCTGATAATAATGAAGATAAATCAGGGTCTTTACCCTGTCTGCAACATTCTCAAAAGCAGTTTACCCTATCCAAGAGAAAAACATAGAAAAAGAGGTCCTTCACTGAACTTATGCCTAATTATGCCTAATAAAAAAAGAAGAAAGTCTATGTTTATCACCCCAACAGCTGGCAAGGAAGAAGGAGGGAGATGACGCTCCTTCTTTCTATGAAATGTACGTATTCTACCAGCCCAGTAAGAGGTCTGTTACTCATGTTTCTCTCTTGCAAATGTGAAGCCAAACCCCTACCAGAAAAAGATTAAACAACGGAAGCGGCTATCGGTAGCAGCGAGAGCATGTTACATTCAGAAAGTCGGGGGTCGTAAGAATGCGCGCAGCATGTATATATATATGTATATATATATATGTAGGTATATATATGCTGCTTATATATATATATATATATATATATCCGCAGGGCCTCACGCATAGTGCGGTAGAGCGAAGGGGAAGAGAGAGATGTTCGCCGTCGATGCAGATCAGTGTCGAGTCATCTGCATGATTATCTAAAAAAGTATTATTAATCTGGGTTTGCTAAGGCTGCAAGGTAGTAATGATATATGAATATATTTTATAGAAATGCAGCATTCATATGTGCAGTGGCGCAGTAACTGAGACCAGATGCTGCCTCCTACAGCACAAAGGAGAAGAGACATGACAATAGCGCGGGCTTAAAATAAAAGCTAAACACAGAAAAAATAATAATAATAATGTTTGATGTGTACAGAGATATGCTTCACTCTGATATAACTTAACGCATGCAGTGGGAGGTGTAGGGGAAGAGAATGAGTATAGAGCCTTCATACGAAAGTATTGAGGTCAATGTGCCAGGGAGCAATGGAAGAGTGCAGCTTTCAGCTTTTCTAAAAGCCCCTTCGTTAAGCGGAGGGGGTTGGCCTTCAAATGAAAAAGGAGCAACAAAACTCTAGAGAAGCAGAGATGAATATCTGTAAACAACAGAGAAATGCATGCACTCCGACGTGATGGTTCTATGACTATTGCCCTAAGTTTGAAGGTGTTGATAGAGTTATCATCAGTAAAACAAAATATAGACATGGCTCAGGTGTATATACAACAACTTTTCAGGTAGATACACTCTTTTTCTCTAGATAGCAAGCGAGAGATACACCGCATCAACATCATTGCAGCAGGAGCCTCAACTTTTGTTTGTTATTAATGAAGGGCCAGCGGTGTAGCTGCTGAAAAAGACAAAAGTTTAATCTTTAACTAATGTCTCTAAGCACCATCAAATGATCTCTACTGTCTTTCTTCTGTTTGATGCTTCAGAGTGGGTCTCTCATCTTTTAGCTAATAATGGGGCTGTTGCTGCTTGTGCCTAACTTCAAGAAGCATGCAGCTCTACAGATGTAATTATATTCTTCTTCCTCAGACAAAGACACTCGTGAGAAGCGAAACAATCAAAATGCAAACCATTAAAAACATCTGCCCTCTGAGTACAACAGCAAAAGGGCATGGGGCTGGTCGGGAGAGCAGACGACATATAATGAACCGAAGCATATCAAACATTCTTGCTGTTACTGCTGCTGCTGCTGCTGCTGCAAGGCAGCCTCACGCGCGTGCAAACTGAAGCCCTATATATATACAAATATGTATAATATATATATATATATATATATATGTATATATATATATATATATATACGTATATATATGCAATCAAAAGCCACTATCTGGGTCGTTAGTAAGTTGGTTGCACTTTTGTAGAAATATATATAAGAAGTAAACGAAGATAAAAAGAAGTATGAAGATGTCTATAGGTAGTTTATTTCGTAGTAAGAATAGACAGACAAAGTAAGCAAGTAAAGACACATATTCTCCCCGCGAGGTATTACTGCGCATTAGGGATGAGTATTGATAATATTGTACAAACAAATGCAAAGAAAAGAAGTAAAAAATAAAAAAGAATAAAGAAAATATAAAGAAAATTAGAAGGCCCCGATATGCATGCATTCGGTGGTTGTTGGTTTGCCCCACGGGTACTGTAGGTATTGCTTTTGTTTGTTTTTTTTCTGTAAAAGTGTTTGATTTAAATATATTAATATCTTAGAATTCTTTTTCTTTTATTTATTCTTTTCTTACCTACACGATGGTAGCGCACGAAGGCAGCAGCTGCTGCTCAAACCCTCACCCCACCTATGATGAATCTACAGAGACACCTCCTCAAGTAGATAGCAGCCCTCCTCATGCAGAAGGATCAGAAATAGATGTTTCTAAAGATGGTGGAGTTATTAAAAAAGTGCTTGTTGCGGGTACAGGCGAGAGGTGAGGTGTACATACACCTAAATGGGTAACGGGGTTCGATGGGGGGGCGGGAGTCGGCGATCCCAGCAGCATATCTTTCTTCTTTTTAAATATCTTTCTATATACTTATTTATACTTCTTTAACAATTATATTATATTTATGAATATAAATGCATAATATTATTCTTTTTTTAATAAGCAAACACTAACAAGGATTTAACCACCCCCACTGTTCTCTGTCTGTCTTCTTCTAAGGATTGTGTGTATAGGGTTTACTCTACTCTTAAACCCTAAACCATAGGGTTTAGGGTTTAGGGTTTAGGGTTTAGGGTTTAGGGTTTAGGAGGTTTAAGGGGGAGCTTATGCAGCTAAAGGGTTTATATATTCTCTTTGCTTGCTGCTGTGCTGTACAGACCCCCGAAGGGTTTTGAAGTAGAAGTTCACTACGTCGGCAAACTCCAAGACGGCACGCAGTTTGACTCTTCTCGTAAGACAACAACTTCTTGTTGTTTTTGCTTCTAATGCTTATCTACTTTTTCAGCTCTTTTTCAGGTGTATGTACACCGTAAAAGCCTGAAAACGCATCCACAGATATCGTAAAAATACTGCCAGGCTGTGTATTATATATATATATATATATATAAATTATGTATTATTATATTGTATATAGTATAATTGTATGTATATAATATATATTATATATCATATCTAGCATATAATATATATACATATATGTATGTACATGTTGTCTCTTCATTTCTAATATATATATATAATGTGTAATATATACAATATATACTATATATATATAAAGTATATACATATATATATATATATAAAGTATATATATTAGGTATATATTTGCATACATTCCCTTGATATTATCTCTGGTGTAGTTCCTGCTTCTTTCTTTTTGTTAGAGATATATATATATAATGTGTAATATATAAAATATATACTATATATATAAAGTATATACATATATATATATATATAAAGTATATATATTAGGTATATATTTGCATACATTCCCTTGATATTATCTCTGGTGTAGTTCCTGCTTCTTTCTTTTTGTTAGAGATGAGGGCGTGTGCTGCTGCAGCGCAGCAAGCATCAGCAGCAGCAGCACCACAAGCAGCATCAACAGAAGCAGCAGCAGCAGCAGCACCAGCACCAGCAGAATCAGCATCGCCATCAGCAGCAGCAGCAGCATCATCACCAGGAGCAGCAGCAGCAGCAGCAGCAGCAGCACCAGAATCAGCATCACACCAGCAACAGCAGCAGCAGCAGCAGCAGTGTGCTGCAGGTCTGTTTGTTTGTTTTTTCTTTTTCTTTTGTTTATGCATGCAGGAGACAGAGACACTTCATTCCGATTTGTGCTGGGGGAGGGGCAAGTTATTAAAGGATGGGATCTCGGTGTGGCGACGATGAGCGTTGGAGAGAAGTCGATGCTCGTGAGGGTTTAGGGTTTAGGGTTTAGGGTTTTAGGGTTTTGGGTTTGGGGTTTTAGGGCTTAGGGTTTAGGGTCAAGAGTATAGGGCTGAGGGTTTTAGGTTTAGGGTTTAGGGTTTAGGTTTGATGCTGGGGTTTGCTGAGGAAGAAGACGTAGCAGCATTTTCGTGTATTTGTTCTGCGGTGTACAGACAATTCAACCTTCTTATGGCTATGGAGAGGCAGGGGCTGGAGGGTCTATACCCCCAAATGCTACTTTACAGGTGTGATAAACAAAACCCTAAAACTTTAATTTATTATATAAAGAAGATTCTGCAGCAAAACGCATGCAGCACAACTCTGTGGGGCTGCACAGGCCTCCTTTCTTTCTCTCCTTTTTGTTTAGAGGGCGGCTCTAGGGTTTAGGGTTTAGGGTTTAGGGTTTAGTTTAAATAAATAGTAATAACAATTAAGATAGATAGAAAGTGCCTCACTGCGTTTTGTTTTAGTCTCCAGTATGAGGTGAAGTTGTTTTGATGTTCTTTTTTTGTTTTTGTTTGAAGCGACATAATATAATATAATAACAAAATTACAATTATAATTATAATTGCAATATTATAATAATTAGAATGATAATTATAAGTGTACTTATTAGAATTATTATATATATATATACTATATAATATTTGTGTTTTGTTTAGTTTGAAGTAGAGTTGCTGAGCTTCCGACCAAAGCCTAAGGCTCGATGGGCTATGTCTGTAGAAGAAAAGATTCAAGCAGCTCTTGATGAAAAAGAAAAGGGTAATGATGCATTTAAAAAGAAAAACCTTATTGAAGCAACTGCAGCATATAAGGAAGGCCTATGTTATTTAGAGCATTCAGAGCAGTGGACAGAGCAACAACAAATTCAGAAAACTTCTGTTGAAGTTTCCCTCAGACTCAACCTATCCAAGTAAGATAAAAATAAGGGTTTAGGGTTTAGGGTTTAGGGTTTA